CCTTGAACAGGGAACACATCTACCACGCTCGTTTTTTTATGTTTTTGATGTAAGCAGATTGATTAAAAGGTATTGTTCCATTTACCATACGGTGTCACACTATTATATCATTGCTTTTCACCTATATACGTTGTGGAGGAATCTGTATGAGATCTGGTTAAGGCTCAGATGGGACCATGAGGGGAAGGTAATCAAAGTGGAAAGCTTCAGGAGTAGAGGAGAAGAAGCGCTTCTGGTGATACCATCTATTTGATATACAAGGCGTTTTATCCTACGATTTCTGGTAAGGGTATACTTGCTGATTTCAGTAGAGGTGACACATCACTGGAGTTGTGTTTGGCACAGAGTGAAGCACATCACTGATCTTGCACAGTGTTGGTTTATTTTGTTTTTGGTTTTGCACATTTTTTGCACTAAATATAGAGTGATATGGAATATTATCATTAAGATAATGCACTATTGTGAGTTTGTTTTTCTTTGAGGCATTTTCCAACCTTTGGGAGCCAGAGGAAAGGCTCAAACATCTTGAAAGAAATATCAAGTTGGAGTTTGGACATTGCTTTATTTATTTAAATTTTGGACTTTAAATGACACTGGGTATTAATTTTATTATATTTGTGGAAAAGACTTTATTTACTTTATCTACTTATTTATTTATTTTTGGAACACATTTTGCTTGCATATTTGTATATTGTGGAGATTTTATTTTCTAAAGATTTGATTGCCACTAAATATAGGGTGGGGAGCTTATAAGGTGGGGACCCATTCATACTGTTATTTAATCATTTACACTTTCAAGGGTGAAAGTTTCTTTGTGAATATTGGGATAGTTTGGTAGATTTATTTGGTACCGTATTTCACACTTATATAAGACAAGTTAACCACTGCATTTATCTGACTTTCCTGGCAGCAGTCAGGGTGTCCCTTTTCGTTTCTGTTCTTCCTTCCACTTCGTCTGGGTCTGTTCACTTTCGTTGGTTACCGGAAAATAGGACTCCACTAGGTGTGATTAAAAAGTAACTACTTGGGGCTCGCAAGCAGCGATCCAAAATGTCCGCAAGCGGATTTCGCTCCTCACTGCTGGGACACACCGGCTTCCACCTCGACAACCTGGGGGTCCCAATTGACGTCCACTGCTCTCTATGCCCACCCTTACCTGCCACGACATAAATGGGGAAGAAATCAGCCCACTCTAGAGCCTCCATCTCGCAGAAACTGGACCAGAATATAGACAGGCCTCCCACTCCAGATCTTGGAGGCCCCGCCTTCCAGTCCAGATCCTTTCCTGCTGCCGCTCTCTGGTGACTCGCTCCCTCACTCCTTGGCAGGTGAGTACTTGGAGGATCCTCCGCCATTACAGCCAGCAGCCCTCCATGACGCAGAGCTGCTGCTCCGCTTCAAGTCTCTACTGCAGACTGAGCAATCAGGGGCCACTACACGATTTGCGGCACAGCTCACAAAGGAAATACGGGCTAGGCTCCTGCACCAATGATTTAAAGGACAGGATGGACACTGCAACCACAGTTCTAGAGAATCACGACCAAGACATGACGAACATACGCAAAGAGTTGAAAACAGTTCTCCTCCGTATAGAGGACTTTGAGAACAGGTCCTGCCAAGGGAACCTGTGTATCCGGGGTATCCCTGAGAATGTTACCGACCTTAGTTCTTCTGCTACGGCCTTATTTCAGGAGTTAGTCCTGGCCCTGCCCATAGACAGACTTGAATTCAAATCGCATCCGCCGCTCTCTGGGCCCAAAAAAGCCAGAAGGCCCACCAAGGGACATTGTCATTAAGCTTACATTTTATTGCACAAAGGACACGCTACTCAGAGCTGCCAGAGACCACCCAGATTTAGAATTTCAAGGGCACTGCTACCAGATCTTCACAGATCTGGCCCCTTCTACTATCCTGAAATGACAACTGAAACCTTACACAACGGCTCTTCTTCACCATCAGATTCACTACCAATGGGGGTTTCCCTTTAAATTGTACTTCACTTATCTAGGCCGCACTCACATCCTGCACACTCTGGAGGAGGTCCGGGAAGTTTTGGAAAGTCTACATCTACTCCCAACTTCGGACAAGGGGCCTCCACTGCACAGCACTTCGCCTGGTTGGTATCCATTGAAGCTACTGAAATAGGTCTGGAAAAAGGCCAAAGGCCGTAAATGCCCTCTGTCCATGCCCCGTCCATGATGAACTCTGCCAGATCGGACCCGGGTTGATGCGGGAACTCAGACTGTGATCTCTCCTCAGCCCCTAAAGGGCTTATTCTGCTGGACCCTTCAGGCTGCTAACAATTTCCAAGCCTCCCTAGCTGGCGCCTGGGCCTCGTGCCATCAGGAGTGAGTCAGTTCCCTTATCCCTCGGGGCCAATGCCCCATTCAATATCTTGCTTTGTTCCTCCCCCTCCTTTCCCCTCCTTTTTTTTTTTTTTTCTGCGGGTCACTTCCCGCTTTGTCTATTGTCATACTATGAATGTTCATGTTTTTGAGTAGGAGGCTTATGATGTATACAGATGCTGGTATTCCTGTTCTCTCCCCCCTCTTCCACCCTGTACCTGACCCTGTTTCTGTCCCTTCTTTCCCTCTCCCCATTCCCCCTTTGGCCACCCCTTCCCTGGCCCTTCCCCTTCTTGACCCGGCCCTTCCCTCTCCCTCTCTTCCCCTTCTTTTCCATTCTTGGTCCCCCCTCCTTCTGTTATTCCTCCCCCCCTTATCTTCCCCCCCTGCTTTCCTTCCCCCCTACCCCTCCTTAACCTACTCCCACTCTTCTTTCCACTCCCCCTGCCATGTTCCCTTCCCCTTCTTCCCCCTCTCCCCTCCTTCATTGGATGGGCCCAGAGGGCTTGTTCTCTTTTGTAGCCTGTGAATTTACCCCTGGGCTTATTTTAACTGAATTCACGAACTGTTGCCTTCTCGCTTCGTTCAGGGGCAGAAGCATAAGTCCATTCCTTGGGTATTTGGTTTTGACGGGTCCTAGGGCCTCATTGTTGACCCAGTCAGGCAGATTTATGGGTTGTTTTGACTTACAATATATTGTGTATTGTATGCCAATTGTTATATTTTTTCCAGAAATCTGATATCCAGCTGATTGGAGCGGTAGAGAGGCTTACGCTTCTCCTTGAGGGTGTGGCCCTCTCCATCGCTTCTTCTCTGCTCCATGTTCGATGTTTTAGACCTCACATCCTCCAGGGCATCCAACTCCCTTGGAGACCCCCAGGTTGTCAATGTTATTGTTGTATATACTGTATGTCAGGGCTCCCAGGTATGACCAGAGATGTGTGACCGACGCAGGGAAACGCAGACTTCAGATATGGGATAAACAATATAATTTATTAACACTAACAATACAAACATAAACGCAGTGCAATACTAAACATAATACAGTGCAAACAAACCAAACCAACCACCCACAGATAACAGTACATACAAGCAAGCGTCGTCAGGCAGGCCGGGTCAATATCAATTGGGCAGGTAGGTACAGGGGGAGCAAGCGGAGAATGGTCGGGGTCACAGGCCAGGTTCAGCAGGTAGCAAGCAGCGTAGTACAGAGGGTCAAGCAGAGGGATGGTCAGGGTCACAAGCCAGGGATCAGAACTGGTAGCAAGCAGCGTAGTACAGAGGGTCAGCAAAGGAACAGAAACAGGATGCAGGACAGATACAGGGCCCAGGACAAACACACACCAAGGCAGAGTCTGTGGGTCTGGCCATCCCTTAAATACCCCAGCATAATCAGTTCCAGGTGTTAGCTAGCTGCAAAGTTGAGTCTCTGATTGCTGGGAGCACCCGCTGGCCAGCCCTGGTACTGCAGATCAAAAGGCAGGTGAGTCCCACCATTGCTGGCCAGTCCATTCCTGACAGTACCCCCCCCTCAAGGAGCGGCCTCAGGACGCTCCAAACAGTCCTAGCTGGGAAAAATGTTCCACCGCCCGGGTCTGGTAACTGGCGGGATATCAAAGACTGGCACACCTGGCAGGACTCCGGGCAGCGGTACACCAGGCAGAGGCACATCGGGCTGGACACCGGGCAGAGGCACATCGGGCTGGACTCCGGGCAGAGCACATCGGGCAGAGGCACACGGGCGGGCTGGACTCCGGGCAGAGGCACACCGGGCAGAGGCACATCGGGCTGGGCACATCGGGCTGGACCGGGCAGAGGCACATCGGGCTGGACTCCGGGCAGAGGCACATCGGGCTGGACTCCGGGCAGAGGCACATCGGGCTGGACTCCGGGCAGAGGCACATCGGGCTGGACTCCGGGCAGAGGCACATCGGGCTGGACTCCGGGCAGAGGCACATCGGATTACCGGGCGGGCAGCAGGCAGCGGGTCACCGGGCGGAGCAGCAGGCAGGGCACCGGGCGGAGCAGCAGGCACCGGGCCCCCGGGCGGAGCAGCAGGCACCGGGCCCCCCGGGCGGGCGGAGCAGCAGGCACCGGGCCCCGGGCGGGCGGCAGCAGCAGGCACCGGGCCCCCCCCGGGCGGGGCGACCGGCACCGGGCCCCCGGGCGGAGCAGCAGGCAGGCACGGGCCCCCCCCAGGGCGGGGGGCGACCGGCAGGCACCGGGCCCCCGGGCGGGGCGACCGGCACCGGGCCCCCCGGCCCCCAGGGGGCGACAGGCATCGGGCCCCCAGGCGGGGCGACAGGCATCGGGCGACACAGGCATCGGGCCCCCAGGCGGGGGCATCGGGCGACGGGCATCGGCATCGGGCCCCCAGGTGGGGCGACCGGCATCGGGCCCCCAGGCGGAGCGGCGGGGGGCAGGCATCGGGCCCCCAGGAGGGGCGACAGGCATCGGGCCCCCAGGCGGGGGCATCGGGAGGCATCGGGCCCCCAGGCGGGCGGCGACAGGCATCGGGCCCCCAGGCGGGGCGACAGGTCTCGGGCCCCCAGGCGGGGCGAGCGGGCGGGGGCGGCCGGGACCCCCAGGTGGAGCGACAGGTCTCGGGCCCTCAGGCGGGCGAGCGGCGGGCCCCCAGGTGGAGGGTCTCGCCGGGGTGCCGGACCCCCAGGTGGAGCGACAGGTCTCGGGCCCTCAGGCGGAGCGGCGGGTGCCGGACCCCCAGGTGGGGCGACAGGTCTCGGGCCCCCAGGCGGAGCGACAGGTCTCGGGCCCTCAGGCGGAGCGGCGGGGAGCGCCGGGCCCCCAGGTGGAGCGACAGGTCTCGGGCCCCCAGGCGGAGCGACAGGTCTCGGGCCCTCAGGCGGAGCGGGGCGCGCCCCCAGGGACCCCCCCCAGATGGAGCGACAGGTCTCGGGCCCTCAGGCGGAGCGGCGGGCGCCGGACCCCCAGGTGGAGCGACAGGTCTCGGGCCCTCAGGCGGAGCGGCGGGCGGACCCCCCCCCAGGACCCCCCCTCAGGCGGAGCGACAGGTCTCGGGCCCTCAGGCGGAGCGGCGGGCGCCGGATCCCCAGGTGGAGTGACAGGTCTCGGGCCCCCAGGCGGAGCGACAGGTCTCGGGCCCTCAGGCGGAGCGGCGGGCGCCGGACCCCCAGGTGGAGCGGTCAGGGCCCCTCGGGCCCCCCCCAGGCGGAGCGACAGGTCTCGGGCCCCAGGCGGAGCGGCGGGCGCCGGACCCCCAGATGGAGCGACAGGTCTCGGGCCCTCAGGCGGAGCGGCGGGCGCCGGACCCCCAGGTGGAGTGACAGGTCTCGGGCCCTCAGGCGGAGCGGCGGGCGCCGGACCCCCAGGTGGAGCGACAGGTCTCGGGCCCTCAGGCGGAGCGGCGGGCGCCGGACCCCCAGGTGGAGCGACAGGTCTCGGGCCCTCAGGCGGAGCGGCGGGCGCCGGACCCCCCAGGTGGAGCGACAGGTCTCGGGCCCCCAGGCGGAGCGACAGGTCTCGGGCCCTCAGGCAGAGCGGCGGGGGCGCCGAGTCATCTGGCACGACAGGGCTCCGAGTCAACTGGCATGACCGCTGGCACTGGGTCAGACATTGGATCGTCTGGCTGGACAGCGGGCATCGGGTCACCCGGCATCAGGTCATTTGGCTCGACCGCGGGCACCGCATCATCTGGCAAGGCAGTGGGCTCCGAGTCAACTGGTATGACCGCGGGCACTGGGTCAGACATTGGATCGTCTGACTGGACAGCGGGCATCGGGTCACCAGGCATCAGGTCATTTGGCTCAACAGCGGGCACCGCGTCATCTGGCAAGGCAGTGGGCTCCGAATCAACAGGCACGACAGTGGGCACCGGGTCATCAGGTACCCGGATTGTCTGGCTCGACAGCGGGGGTCACTGGGTCACCAGGCATCAGGTCATTTGGCTTGCCAGCGGGCACCGCGTCATCTGGCAAGGCAGTGGGCACCGGGTCACCAGGCATTGGATCGTCTGGCTCGACAGCGGGCATCGGGTCACCAGGTATGACAGCGGGCACTGGGTCACCAGGCATCAGGTCATTTGGCTCGCCAGCGGGCACCGCGTCATCTGGCAAGGCAGTGGGCACCGAGTCACCAGGTACGACAGCGGGCTCTGAGTCAATTGGCACGACAGCGAGCACCGGATCAGGTACCGGATCATCTGGATCAACAGCGGGCATCGAGTCAACTGGCCTAATAGGATCATCAGGCTGGATCAGTTCATCATGCTGGGTAGAGGCATCAGGCTGAATGCCGGCGTCCGGCTGAGTAGAGGCTTCAGGCCGAGTAGAGGCTTCAGGCCGAGTAGAGGCTTCAGGCCGAGTCAGGCTGAGTAGGGCTTCAGGCCGAGTAGAGGCCAGGCCGAGTAGAGGCATCAGGCTGAGTAGAGGCGGCCGAGTAGAGGCTTCAGGCTGAGTAGAGGCTTCAGGCTAGAAGGCTGAACCACGGAAGGCAGGTTCACCAGTTTGGATACTGGCAGGATGGTATTGGTTGGAAAGAATTTTCGCTTTTTTCTGGTTTTAACTACTGGAGCACTGCAAGTAAACGCAGGTCTGCAAACGAATGGAGCAGCTGGAGACAGAGAAGAACTGGAGGATGGAACAGGAGAGGGAGCAGTTGCTACAGAGGGCTTTTTTACAGGGTTAAAGGCAGGATAGGTGCAGCGAGTGGGAACAGGGTACTGACATGCGGTAGATAGCCAAGTATACTGGGCTGTAACTGGAGGAGCTGGTGGGAATACAGGAGTAGAGTTAGAAGCAGGACTGGGTTTTTGTAAGCTGACTGAGGCTGGGTGCAACAAATCTGTCCATGTCTGCAGTATGGGTTGAACAAAGCTGAGCTTACACAAAGCCTGTCTGGTCAATGACTGCACTGCGTTTATACAAACTCTTAGTGTCTGTGGTGAACATGTGGAATAACGCTCCAGAAAGTAACCCACATCATCCTCTAATAACCACACCAGGGACTCTACCTGGTCTGCACTAAATGGTGGCAAAAATTCATCCCTGCATTCGGGGGAACCAGATGAAACCAACTCTGCACAAACCTCAATCAAAGGCTGCACCTCAGAGAACTCTGTGCCCTGATCTACTAGAACATGAGCGAGCCGTATACATTCTAGCAGTTCATCCCGGGGATACTCCTTCAGAGTCTGATAAGCATACTCTCTGTCATCAAGCACTAGCAGAGATAAATACTCAACCTCATCCAGATCCATCCTTCCCATCAACAAGCCAAGATGGCTTCCCTGTGCAGCCACTTCTGGTCAGGATTGGCCTTGGTGTAATGTCAGGGCTCCCAGGTATGACCAGAGATGTGTGACCGACGCAGGGAAACGCAGACTTCAGATATGGGATAAACAATATAATTTATTAACACTAACAATACAAACATAAACGCAGTGCAATACTAAACATAATACAGTGCAAACAAACCAAACCAACCACCCACAGATAACAGTACATACAAGCAAGCGTCGTCAGGCAGGCCGGGTCAATATCAATTGGGCAGGTAGGTACAGGGGGAGCAAGGTGGAGAATGGTCGGGGTCACAGGCCAGGTTCAGCAGGTAGCAAGCAGCGTAGTACAGGTCAAGCAGAGGGATGGTCAGGGTCACAAGCCAGGGATCAGAACAGGTAGCAAGCAGCATAGTACAGAGGGTCAGCAAAGGAACAGAAACAGGATGCAGGACAGATACAGGGCCCAGGACAAACACACACCAAGGCAGAGTCTGTGGGTCTGGCCATCCCTTAAATACCCCAGCATAATCAGTTCCAGGTGTTAGCTAGCTGCAAAGTTGAGTCTCTGATTGCTGGGAGCACCCGCTGGCCAGCCCTGGTACTGCAGATCAAAAGGCAGGTGAGTCCCACCATTGCTGGCCAGTCCATTCCTGACACTGTATTTGTAATGTTCGCATATTCCGCCATGTGTCCGGTGGTAGAGTTACCTACCTTTAGCATCCCGCATGTCAGGATGTACTCCACTGTTTGAGTGGCATTGTTTTCTTTCTCCTTTCTCTCCTCACTATTTTCTGTTGTCCTCAATGTTTTTTCATCTTGTCCTTCATCTTTTCTCTTTTCCTTCTTACTCCACTACTCCTGCAGGTCTGGCCTTGCTCCGCCTGGACGGTTCACACCTTCCGAGATCATGTAAGCTGAGGATGGGATTCAAGAGTGATCTCCTTTTCTACCTCTACTATGGCTAATATCCCGCTGAAGATTTATTCACATGACATCCAAGGCTTAAACTCCCCTGTTAAGCGGACAAAGGTCTTTCACCATCTCAAAGCTAGCCTGTTGATATAGCATGTTTACAGGAGACTAGTTTTTCTACTACCTCAGCTCCCAGGTTCCTCTCGCCCATTTTCCTACCTTTTTTCAGTCCTCAGCCCCAGAGAAACACAGAGGGGTTTTAATTGCTTTCCATTTGGGGCTTCTGTTTTCCTGTACTAAGGAAATAGTGGACCCAAGCGGTAGATACTTGCTTCTCAGGGGCCTCCTCAATGGGCAGGAGCTGACCCTGTTATCCTACTATGAGCCTAACCACTTTCAAACTAAATTTTTCTCTCATTTCTTCTGGATAGTGTCTCAGCATACTGGAGGATCGCTTCTCCTTATGGGTGATTCTAACATAGCTATTGATTCCTCTATGGACCGGCAATATGCTCCAGGCACAAAACCCTCCCATGACCTGAACCTGGAAGCCCAAATGCAAGCCCTGCTCTGCTCTCATGGTTTATTGGATGCCTGGAGGGAACTACATCCTCGAGACCTTGAGTATACCTTTTATTCACACGCCCATAAGAGCCATTGCAGCATCGATCATGTGTTTATCCCTTTGAGGCTTTTTTCACTGATCAGTAGATTCACTATTCTGGCCTCTCCCTGGTCGGATCATGATCCTCAGATTTTCTTTTTTACTCTTTTTGGCTTTGTCCACCCTCCATTTCATTTGAAGCTTAATGATTCTCTTTTGACATCCCAAGACTCGCAGACTGAAATTCAGCGCCACTTACAATCTTATTTTGCTGATAATGTTGGCTCCGTAACGTCCGCGATTTTGTTGTTGGAAGCCCACAAGGTTACCCTTCAGGGACACTTAATTCAGATCGCCATGGCTAAAAAAAAAACGTACTAAGGAATACAAACACGTCTTTCGGGGGGTGACGCCCTTTGGAAATCCAATCCTTCGGTGCACAATTGACAAAGGAGAGATGCCTTGGTGGGGAACTTGGACCTCCTGGCCACTGATCAAGCAGAGAAAGTCCTGAGATGGTCCAAACACAAGTATTTTACTTGCGTGAATAAACCTGGCCCGATGTTGGCAAGCAAATTGAATGGCCACTGCCGCCTCTGCAAACCATTCCGTATGCTTTCCATCCCCGGCCAACTGACCTCAGACCCTACTACAGTTGTAGCATTGTTTGCTAAATTTCTGTCCTCATATGATAAACCATCTCCCTTCCCAGTAGCTCTCGCTGACCAATTTTTCCATGACCTTCGCCCCCTGACTTTGACTGACACTGCCAGAGACTCACTGCAGGCAGACATCTTTGACCTTGAAGTCCTTCAGGTTATCAAAATAGATCCATTCTTCCAAAGCTCCTGGCCCAGATGGCTTCTCGGGTTTGTATTTTTGAAATTTTGATTTTAGCACCTCATCTTGCAGCCTACTTTAACAAATTGAAAGGGGGCTCTTTGCACTCCTCAGACTCCTTAAGGGCCTATATCACAATGGTACCCAAATCTTCGGAGAACAGCCTGGACCCCCGGATTGTTGACAAATATCCTTATTGAATGAGGATGTGAAGCTTTTAGGGAAGATTTTGAGAGCTTGTATTAACCGATATCTCTGGCAGCTAATCCACAGAGACCAAGTGGGGTATGTTCCGGGCCGGCAAGCGGGGACAATGTGAGGAAAGTGATCCATTTGATACACATATTGAATAGTTGAAAGATCCCAGGTTTCCTTCTTTCACTTGATATATATAAGGCGTTTGACTCCCTTTCTTGGGACTACCTAGGTTATGTTTTACAACGTTGGGGTTTTGGCAACCGCATTTTAGCTTGGATTTCAGCTCTCTATTCTTCCCCGTCTTCCAGCTTGACATATGCTAATCTGCTGTGTGTTCCTCTTTCCAATCCTCCATGGCACTAGACAGGGCTGCCCCCTTTACCCTATTTGGCGATTGCTCTGCACTCAGATTGTAATATTTCGGGAATCCCTTACGCGGGCTATCCATATAAAGTGAATGTATTTGCGGACGACGCACTTTTAACTCTAACAAATCCCTTGACATCCCTTCCAAACCTACAATGCTTACTTTTCCACTTTTCAGTTATTTCCGGTCTGCAGATCAATCCCCATAAAACAACGGCCCTTAATGTTTCTCTGCCCCCTTCCTCTATTGCCCATCTTCAACAATTTTTCCCCCTACCGCTGGGTGACTTCTTCTATTGATTATTTGGGAGCCAAATTAACTGCATCTTTTGCTACTCTTTTCTCCTCTAATTACTACCCTTTTCTATGACATGTCACTTCGCTGTTACAATCATGGCAATTTCCCTCATTATCATGGATTGGTCATATACATGCCATAAAAATACTTCTTTTTATGCCATTTGCAGAACAAGATTCTTTCCTTCGTCTGGGCCTTTAAACGACCGAGGGTTTCGCGCTCCACACTGATCACCCATAGGCTCAAAGGGGGGATGGGTGTTTCAAATATCTCCAAATATTATCAGACTGTGCAGTCGCTCCGCTCACTTTGCTGCATGCTACGTCGGACATTCCGCTTTGGGTACTCCTGGAACTTCCTAACTGTGCCCCGATTCAGGTCATGACATTTTTACGGCTCCTGCACAAACTTTGCCCCACCACATTAAGCCCTGTAATACTCCAAAACTTGAAAGTATGGGACTCGGTATGGATCTCGGGTTATCTTATGTCGTCACATTTACCCTTACTAACGCTGCTCAACAATCCCCTTTTCCCTCCAGGTCTTGAACAACAGGCTTCCTTTAAATGGTGGGTCGAATACGGTTTCACTCAGGTCCAACATTTTCTTTCCTCACAAACGTTCCCCTCATGGTCCTCCATACAAGAAACTTATCAGACCCCGCGGTCTGAATTTTACTGTTATATCCAGCTTTGCCACTGGATATCCTTTCTTAGACGCAATTCCTCGTTCCCCTATAGGTCCACGGCATTTGAGCACCTTTGTCGGACTTCTCCGGGTGCCCCGGGCACTATCACTCTCCTATATTCTTCAATGAATTCTGTAACTCCTTCCCCCTTGTCTTATGTCCCTTGTTGGGAGAATGACCTCCCAGCAGGGACATCTGTAGACTTATCAGACTGGATTAAAGCATGGTCAATTATTTCCCGTTGCTCATTCAACACATCCACAATGGAAGCTGCTTACAAAGTCCTTCTGCGATGGTATTGGGTTCTTGCCCGCATCATATGTGCCAATCCCGGTCTTATGGATAGATGTTTCCGTGGCTGTGGAATGCGAGGTGATATGCTTCATACTTGTGGTCATGCCCACGTCTCACTGGGTTTTGCTCCAGAGTATTTGGTCTCTTATACTCTATCTTCCATGTTCCCATCTTGAAGGATGCGAAATCGGCCTTGCTTCATTGCCCGGTTGTGGGGTTGTATGCCCATCAACAGAAGCTAGCTACCTATGCCTTCATTGCCGCTAAAAAGGTCA